GACAGTGAGTCAGTGCCCACAGCTGCATGTGGGATGTTGGTTGGCTAATTATATGATAGTTGTTACATGAATTTATAGACMTTTGAAGACTGCAGCCTGCATAGAATTGTTCTTTCTGTTTTGTTCTGAAAAGAAAGAAAAAGCAGCTACAGAAACGTCGGCAACTAAACAAAACCCCTTCAATTAACATTTGTCATATGCCCACTACAATATTATTAACTACAGAAAGACGGGGCTTTGTTTGGATATCTCAGGGTTTAATTTCCACGTTCAGACTCCAGCTACAGCTCCTCACCCTCAGATTATGTGAAAGCAGCCAAGTTTTGAAGCTCTGCTCGCTGAGGATGACTCACATTATTATACACTAACCACCACCACGCTTTGTTTTTCCCCTTTGTTTTACACGCCTGAAGTGTTCTGGCTGGGGTTTGCCTTGTTCAGAGCTTGTACGTTCTGCATCCTGCCTGCTCTACCATGTAATCACTCCCTGTCCTTCTCCTCTCAGCTTTTTTACGAGCTGCTGCACTGGCACTTGGGCAATCTCCAGAACTACCCCACAGAACTCAGTGCCGTGGCCTCTGAGAAGGAACCAGGGGTCAGTGACAMGAGGTGTCATTGGGACTCGTGCTTTTGATCTTTTAAATATCTTTTTATCTTCATTAATGACATACACAAAGGGATTGAGGGCACCCTCAGCAAGTTTACAGATGACACCAAGCTGAGTGGCGCGGTGGCCACACCTGAGGGATGGGATGCCAACCAGAGGGACTTGGATGAACTTGAGAAGCGGCCCATGGGAATGTCCTGTGGTTTAACGAGGCTGGGGTGCTGCACCTGGGTTGGAGCAGCCCCTGGTAACAATCCAGGCTGAGGGACGAACAAATCTAAAGGGATTGGGGGGGGCTGGTAGATGAGAGGCTACACAACCCAGCAATGTGCACTGGGAACCCAGAAATCCACCCTATTAGGGGCTGCATCAAAACCAACATGGGCAGCAGGGCAAGAGAGGGGGTTCTGTCCCTCTGCTCTGCCTGGTGAGACCCCGCCTGCAGTGCTGCATCAGCTCTGGGGCCCCAGCACAGAAAGGACATCAACAGTTGAGTGGCTCTGAAGGAGGCCACCAATGACAATTAGAGGGATGAACCACCTCTCCTATGAGGAAAGGCTGAGACAACTGGGATTGTTCAGCCTGGAAAAGAGAAGTCTCCAATGTGACCTAATTGTGACCTGAGGYSAGCCTGCAAGAAAGCTGGAGAGGGACATTGTACAAGGGCATGGAGTGACAGGAAAGGGCAAATGCATTCAAACTGAAAGACTTTGTCATGGTGAGGTTTAGATTAGATATTCAGAATAAATTCTTTACTGTGAGGGTGGTGAGTCCCTGGCACAGGTTGCCCCATCCCTGGMAGTGYTCAAGGCCAGGCTGGACAGGTTTGGAGCAATCTGGTCTAGTGGGAGGTGTCCCTGCCCATGGCAGGGGGGTTGGAACTGGATGATCTTTAGGGTCTCCTCCAGCCCAAACCATTCTGTGGTTCTGAGATCTGYAGGCTTCGCTGCAGGTTCCTGAGAATTCACACAACTACACTGGAGACCTCTGAYAAAGCAAAGAACTCTGGATGATAGACTGCTGCTATGTCAAAAGATTTTTTGAACTCTTGTACGTAGGGCTGGCATGGGGAATCAAACAATGAATGTCACAAAATCCTTTTGTGGAGACACAGGAGATTAAGGCTGAGCATATGACTGGGATGGTTTCTATTCTCTGTATCAATAGGAGAAAGTCTTGAAGGTGAATTAATTCAAAAAAATCTCCAGTGAAGCAGAGGGAGAGCAGCTTTAGCATAAAACAGGTCTTGCTCTGTGATTCTCTGCCACTGCCTTTTGAGCTTTTATCAGCAGCCAGCTCATGTTTTTATCTAGTTTAAGCAGGGAGAAAAATAAATTGTCCAAGTATCCTAAGCTTCCCACGTAAGCAGCCCATGAGACAGTGCTTGTGAGGCAAGCACGTTGTCAGATTCTAGAACACCTCAGAGTTTAATACAGAAAGTGTGAAAGAACAGGTGAAATTATTTATTTATGTAATGGGTAGCAATGCTGAGTGCTTAGAGATTCTGCTGCCTTTGCTAAGGGATGGGATAAAAATAACGATGTCATTAATCTTACAAAGACATGTGAGTGCTTCTTTCCAGAAATAACTGTTAAGCATAAAATTTCAGGCATTAATCAAAGCATGGAGASGCCTAAACTCCTTTAGGATTCCAAAAAGAAACGTAAAGCAACAGGGCTGTAAAGCAACATGAACAAAAGGGGCATTTAACATTTATTCTAAGTGGGCAAGTTCAAGGAAAATATGCTCAGGGACAGGTTATTGACTAGTGCAGATTTGCATTGATCCAGCTGGTTTTAAAGAAGCTGCAGCAAGTTTTACCCTCTCAGAAGCTGGTCTCTGCTGTCTGAAAGAAGCCAGGAAGAAAGAAGAGCACCACCACATGATATCATGAATTTGAAAAAAAAATACATATAAAATATTCAAATATAATATTCTGCAGGAAGTAGCAAAGGAGAMATACCCATGAGGAAGGGAAAAATACAAGATTAAAATAAAATGCCTAAGAGTTCTTTCAGGAAGGAAAACTAGCAGATGCAGCACAAGGGAATTTAAACTCTGCCCAGACACTGAGAATATGGGCAAGATGCAGGAGGAGAATTTAAATACAGAAAGATTTTGTCAAATRAAGTAGAGATGCAGCACAAGCGAGGACAAATTATATTTGTTTCCCATAGGCCAAGTCCAGAAAGAGATTTCCTACAAGATGTGGATCTTTTATCTCAGATCCACAGTCCTGTTGATCTATCTCAAAGTGATTCACCAAGAAAGAATATTTCCCAGGGAATGAGWTCTAGCCCTTATTCAGAGCTGCTGAAGGTGTTGCTGGCCTGGGGATGCAGATAAATTGTCTGTGTCAATTCAAAGCTCATACGCAGTTGCCATGAGGGGAAGTGTTATGTCTGCATGTGATTTCCTGAAACAAATCAAACGTTTCTGCAGAGGAACACATAAAAAGCTAAATATACATATTAAGGCTGTTTTCTCTGAAAATAGTTAATTCAAACTTACAGTGCTGGTACAACCAGGTCAGAAAAAAAACCCCAAAAACAAATAAACAAAGGGAAAGACATTGTGTCTTAAAAAATCTGACAGAAGAATCCAAACAAATTTAGCATATGAAACTAAAACCAAAAGCTGTTTCTGTACAATAAATAGCAATGGAAACTGAGTATTTACAACTACCAATGACATTGGTTCAGCAGTAAAGTCTGCAAGACATTAYTGGGGTGATCCCAGTTGGCATGGAGAGAAAAACACTGGGCTCATCTGTCACTCCCAACAGTGGCACTAACAATCTGCCCAGTATGTTTTCCARAGGCACATTGCTCAGCAGGATCGGCTCTGCTAACTCTTTCCATCCCAGCTAAACATGAGCAGAGATCAGAAGGGATAGCCATATCCCAGATTAATTTTACTCTTCATGATACGCAGAGAAGACCTGCCTCTTTCAGTATCTTTAACTGATTTCATATCTTTTATTTGCTACATTTAACACATCAGTGAAAGACAACTGGAACTGCCACTGAACCACCACTGAACACTGATCCTGGACCATCATTCTGCCTGTCACAGGCATGGCTAACAACTATTCTTAAATCCATCCCTGAGAAGCCATTGGGTCCTATATTCCTTCCAAGTGTAATGATAGAACACCTCACATGAAAAGACCTGCTAGCTCCTGTGGGGCCACTCATAAACAAGCCCAGTTATTCCTACTGCATACACCAGCCTCCCATGTGTCCTGGAGAACTGGTGTCTTAAAAAAGGGAAGCCTGGCAGCCGAGTCCTGCTCTGTGTGCTCATCTTGTGGTGCTGAGCGCTAACATAATGCACAGATCACAGTTAACCAYCCCTGAGAGGCCTCTTCCCCAGCACTTGCAGAGTCCTTAGGGTGAACTTGTGTTTAACTGTATTTTTTATGCTTTTACTCTGGGAGGATTGTGACCTTTGCCAGGGCTGGCAGAGCAGCTGCTCAGGCTGTCAGGGAACAGTCAGGAGCCCRGGATCCTCCAGTCACCCCATGGCCAGTCGCTGATGCAGCGTCTGCCTTTGGCACCATCACCTCACGMAGTCACGGGCTTGGCAGGATCCCCTTACACCATTTTAGAATGATGACAGGGATCAGCCACCGCTTCGTCTGCAGGAGACACCACAGCAGACGCCTTCAAACTTCCCCATTAGGAACTGCCATCCCCCAAAGAGACACGAAGAGGGCTGGACGAGCACACAAGGGTTGGGCTGCAGAGACCACTGACACGTGGCCTCAARCTGAAACAGGGGAGATTCCGATCAGATAGTAAAAAAATAAATAAATAAATACATAACTTTTAGGGTGGTCAGGCATTGGGATAGGTTGCTCAGACAGGTGACCAAGAGGCATCTGGGTGATGTGGCTTGAAAGGGTTACAGTGGTGGCGMTGGGCTGACAGCCGGACTCGATAATGTTAAAGGTCCCTTCCAGCCTCGCCCATTCTGTGTGACAGCATCTCCATCCCTCCACCGCCCTGCCCTCCCCGCCCGGCGGCGCCGCGCGTTCCCGCCGCGTCCCCGGGGCCCCGCACGGTGCTCTCCGCCGCCGCGGCCGCGGAGCGGGCGGAGGGCCGGCCCGGGAGGCGGGTGGTGTGTCCCGGACGTCATATCAGCCGCCCGGCCGCCATTGGCTGCGCCGCCTCACCCGAGCGGGGCCGCGGCCGCCCGGGGC